TAATGCCTCACTACTTCTCTGTTATGTTTTTGTGTTTCTTAGCTGATAGGTTTTCATAATTATAATTGCCTTTAGGGTAAACAAAATTTAGAACTATTTTTGTAAAACAAACTAAATTTAGCAAAATGTTTCTGCGCCTACTGGTCACTGCGATGAACACAGAGTGGTTTCTATGTCCTTACAGAGCTTGCCAGGTAAACGGTTATTTCTTTCTAAATTTGTTTCACTGTTGCTCATTTTTTTCATTGTAGTAGAAATACCTGTTGCTGCTCTTCAGGTCGTACTGCTTTTTCAAGCCTAGATGAAAATTTTGTTGTTAGCACCGGGGAGGAGGAGCTTTGCTTGCCATTGCCGCAAGGTTGGGATATGGAAGTAACGCCAGAAGGCAAACCGTAATTTTCCAATGTGCAATAGAAATATTTTTACTAGGCTAATAATTATGCGGAATAATGTCCGGACAAAAGAAAGTATATATAGCTCTTCCTTGTTTAAAATTTTCTTTGTCTTTAGTTACTACGTTGATCATAATACTAGAAGGACGCATTGGGAGCACCCTTTAAAGCAAGAAATTCTCCCTCCAGGTTGGGTTAAAAGATTTACTCAGGAGCAGGGAGTGGTGTATTATAAGTAAGTAATTGTTGATTAATCTTCGTTTATATTGTATCATGATGAAGCTTTATAAGTCTATAAGTCAGTTATTATTTGTTTGGGACTCGTTTGTGATTCCTATTGCTTATTCTTTACTTAGCATTATGGGTAAATTTATTTTCTTGATTTACAGTGAAGTGGAAGATCGCTTTCAGTACGAGCACCCCTGCTCAATGAATCCAAGGTGTACCGAAGAAATGGCAGTTCAGTCAAACGTTTATTCTGTACCTCAAAGAGCTGAAAGCACGATTGAACATCTTAATATTATTTCAGAAGGTGTTACTATTATTCTGAAACATCTTTGTTTTTTGATTGTTCTAACTTTGTTTTTCTTTTAACTTCCGAACTGGATTGATCTAGTGGAAACTCTTTAGACATCCCAGATTGGCTGCAGTTATATTCCAGAGCCCCATTTGATCTTGACTATCTTTTGGAGGTTTGACACTTATTGCATAAAAAGATTTGATTTCTATCTTTTCTAGTATTTTCTAAGTTTTCACTTCAATTTGAAAGTTTTAGTCTATTTTTTCAGTTTTGATGACTTTCTTTGCATATGAATTTTTAGTATTATATTTTTCATTAAATACTAGGCGGTTATTTGCGAGAAAAATCTGGAGAAGTGCCGTAAGGGATTCTATGAGTATTTTTTTTTTACTGCATCTTTTGTTCAGAGAATTTTGTTTCAGTGGAACCTTTTCACTTTACCTCAGCTTGAGTTACACGAAGAACAACTCAGGAAACTTTTTAAACAGGAGATGATCAATACAGCTATCAAATATGAACGTTTGGGGCGAGAGATAACAAAGGAGTTGAATAGACGGCAAGCACGCTTTTAATCTCCGTTACTCCCCCGCGGTACTGTAGTCAGGGTTGTTCAAACTTTAGCTGCATGCTTTTTATATTGGTAAAAAAAAGTCCTGGAGCAAGTAATATAGGTTAAAAATCCGTTGAGGTTTTTTGCTGAGGACGTGCCAACTAACTCATCACTATGCAGTGATTTCAAATGGACTTATTATATGTACAGTGTCTTCGTAATAATTCTGGTTTTTGTATTCAGTTTTTTCCTTGTCCTCGTTTCCCTTTTTTTTTGTGGATCTCATTCACATGATGTTTTTGTAGATCCTTAATTCACTAATCTGTACTTTTAGACATTTAGAATTGCTTTAGAATGAAACATTCTGTACAGTTTTTTAGTTCTTGTTGGAGTAGTACTGTACTTTAAGTTTTTTGTAAGTTGTTCAGTTCGAATATAAGAAAATTACATCAAAGATTTGTTTTTTTTATTTTGGCAACGACAGCCTCATCTCACTTTTTCACTGGAGCGGATGGCCTCTCGGTTATTAAAGCCGATAGTCAAAAGTATAAAGTTATTTAAGTAGTAGTATTTTTACAAATCACAGGCATTTCCATTTTCATAGCAAGTGTGTTGCTGTTTTTTAGTATCTTACCTTTTTTTAGTTGAAATATTTTTCAAAGAAAACCTTGTAGAGTGTTTTGAGGTTAAGTAAATTTTACGCTTGTATCTGTAAGCATATACATATATGTTTAATATTTGTTTGTATAAATCAGTCGTTATTTATACCGTTTTGTAGGAGATGTTTTGTGTTGTTATAATTTAGTTTAGCAGATTTATAGTGCGATAGAATAAAATTTAGTATTCGACGGAAAATTGGTTTTGAGACGGTTTGCAAACCATTCTTATTCAACTGATTTCACAGAATGCTGTACAACTTTTTCGTGTTCTCATTTAATAATGCTAATTACATAAAGGGTAGACGGAGACGCTTAAATCAGTATAATTGACTTCACAATGTCGTTGGCTATAGTAAAACTTAATGTAGGTCGTAGTTTGGGTTCGAATGTCGCAGTATATTTTTACGGATGAAAGGGAACGGCCGGAAGGCAGGTATGGGTTCATTGAACCGCCAGTTAATTGGAGCACAGGTGTGGAAATGCTTTCTTCCTAGGTTTTTTTTTTGCTTTTTTATCTGTTCTAGTGTGCTGGTTTCTGTACATTTCTTGGGGTTTTTTGTCTACAGTGCGGCCAATTAGAAGTGTTTGAATATTGCCACAGCTTTCTTTCATACCGTTGCTCAGTGTTGTTTCAGTAAGAAATGTGCGTTCTGTTGTTCATGGAGGTCATGAGCCCAGCTTTTTTGGAGAAGACAATCGTTCAACTGGTGAACATGTATTTAGTATGTGCAATGTATTGCCAGAAGGGATGTCCAGTGAAATTACGCCCTACTTTAGTAGGAAAACGTCAGAAATGCAAACACCATTTGCTAATGTCTGCATTGGTGTAGCCGAGTATTTTTTCTTTTTTTTGTGGAACATTGTGCTTTAGCTTGTATTCACGGTAATGTTCCATCAAGTTTTTCAACTTAGAATGGTATTTTCAGTTTTGTTTCGAAGTATGCGATCAGCCATCCGTGCACAGTGCTCCGTCGTCAGTGCCAGGTTCATCATATGGCGGGTTCTCTTCATTTAACACCGCTCACATTTCCTCCAGTCGTCTGCAATGTTATTGGCAACCAAGTTAGTTTTTTTTTTTCAAAACTGTTTGTAAACTTACTTTTTAAGAGCATTGCTTCATTAATTATTAAATGACCGCCTTTTCGTTCCTTTTCTTACTGCTTGGTTCAGGGCATCCAAACGTTGTGGAAGGGGGCTGTTGGATCCGGTGTGCTTTGGGCACTTGCAGCTACCACCGAAATAATTATAGGAGAGTTTTTTGGACTTCCTTTGTAAGATTTGGCCACTATTTCTCTCTTTAATTTCTGTTACATTTAAATTCTGAATTTTATTTCAGCGTTCAGTGGAAATAAGTTTGTTAATTTTTTTAGAACTGCTGTTCGGCATACTCAAAAAAAAAGTTTCTGGCGACATTTAATGCTGAAAGCGTAAGTATTTTGAATCTCGCTTTGGGCTCTATTTTTTAAAGATTTTCTCCATCTTAATTTTGAAACACCGTCGTTATCAATTTTTGAGGTTCAGTTTTTTTTCAGGATTGCTTAATCAAATGTTTATCACTAGTAAAGCCAAGATTTTTGGCTGTTATAATAAGGTTTCCTTTCGCGTCATAAGATTCTTTTCTCAAATATTTAACGGTTGTAGCGGCATTTTGTTGCCACTTACCTTTAAGACTATAAAACACCATTTAAAATATCACAAGCGTCAAATCTCTCTCCGGTTCAGAAAGTTTGACAGCGCTTGTCTGCATACTTTTATTTCAATAAAGAGGTTTGTTATATAAACTGGGTTTCAGATCGTCTTATTGTGTGATGACGCCATTCATAGTCTCCTCATTTATAGAAACAGTACGAGTAAGTAGAGTTTAATATCAGGGCAGTTACACTCGTCATCTGCTTTTAAACTTATCTATTTTTTTCTTCAATTTCATATCCGTTTAAAATTGCAACACAGTATTAAAACATGTGTAAGTTCATCATTTTAAAAAACACTTGATGTAAGCTTTGAAAGATCTAAATTAGATAACGATGGGAGGATAATCAGTGTGGTGAATTTTAGAGTGAGACGGGCCTTAGTGGCGATGATTTTCGAATAATGGATGTTATTACTAATGGTTTTTATCGTCTCAAGTCTGAATTTTCCATGCGAGATGGAAGCAAAAGATTTAGTCTCTTTTACTTGGCTTTCCCGACGGTGCTGTATCATACATCTCATTATCTGATTGTATATTTCATGTATGAATGGATATACAAACTGGCAAAACGCCATGTGGTAATCGTTCTTAACATTAACAGTTCTCTGTATCCATAACTGCTAAATCTAGTCATCTTGTAAATATAGTTCATCTTTGTTTTTTCATGTTCAGAATAAGAAACCTGGCTTGGAACGTACGACGTTTGACCAGTACTTTCCAGACCTCTTTGCGCTGATGTCTTCGCAAGTTTTGGCTGATTTTATATGCTATCCTTTAGAAACTGTCCTTCACCGGCTCTATATTCAAGGTTGACTACACTATTTATCAAATTCGTCGTGCTTCACCGAACATCATTGCACTTTTTTAACTATACATAGGGTTTTTAGGGACACGAACGCTAATTGACAATTTAGACACAGGAATTTCTGCAATTTCAATAACTGCGAAATATAGCAGTTTAACTGATTGTGTGCAGAGGATCGTTAAACAGGAAACACCATGGGCACTTTATGCCGTATTTTTTCTGATATTTTTAGTTTAAGTCGACTTTAACTTTATTTGAATAACTGAAAGGTTTCATTCAGTGCATCGGAATCATATTCTTTTTAATTCAAAATTCTTTCAAAACCGAAATGCATCTGATTTTATCTTGGTGCATATTCGTAGTCATTCAGGGTGCGGGAGCTCTCTGTCTCCAATATTTATTGAACTTCTCCTTCTTACGCGTGGTGCGAACTGCTTTTGACTATGGGATGCATATTCTTGGTGAAAACCAAGGTGCGCGTACCTCAAACCCCTCCCTTGTCTCTCCTCCGTCCTATCATGAGAGTGTGACACATCCTTCATCGCAGTACTTCCCGTCATCTGTTGCTCCCGCTGGATCAACTGAGTATGGTCTTTGAAAATTGTATAAAATCTTTGTTTTTTTTTCAAAATTTATCTTTTGGAATCTTCTGTTGAAGATTATTTTATAATGACGTTATTTCAGTGAATTTAGGTATCCATCGTTTGGGCAGACAGCTGCTAGTTTAGGTCGCCATTCCCCTCCCGAGAGGCTTCGTAGTTTCGATACTCCTTTTAATCCTACGATCGGGTATTCTTTCCGTTCTTCTATGGGGTAGAGGAGAACAGATTTCTCCCGATTATTTCAGGATCAAAGTTGGCTTTATTTGTAAGTATTTCATTGCCGTGTTGAGGAGTGACGGAAATTTTTTTGCTTTGACTGTCAGGATGCGCTTATCTTCGTTTGAGTTCAGATGGTTCAAGGCAGTACGTTTTTCAGTTAAATTACTTTGAAACGTTTTATTTATTTATTTTTAGAATTAAGAGTTTGTTTTGTATCATGTCATTTTTATATGACTTTGTATATTGCTTACTAGAGTGTTAAAACACTATGCGTGAATGAAAATGTTAGGACGGTTGTTAAAGCTGCTGATATCTTTGAGATTTCACTTAATTATACGCCTATATAAATTAGCTTTGATGTTGTTGCGATTGCTCTGCGTAGATCATAGGGTTTTACTGCTGCGTTCCCTATCTCTTCTTTAGTAAGGAAGAGGTTTTCTCATGTTGAAATTGTTAGCTGACTTTTTTATAATAAGGAAATAGATGTTTTTTACGAGAAATGTGGACTGTTTTTCTCCTCAAGGTTTACCTTCGTAATTTCATTTATAACTCTGTGTTATGGTGTTCGATGGTCCTCTTACTAATTGTTCATGAATAATCATTCGTCAATTTACATATTTTACAAAGGTATGGTGAGACTCGGTGAGGGAGGAATATATTTGCAGCAAGAAGTGATGTCTAAAATTTTGTAGCAACAAAATTCACCTTTATTTCATTCAGCTTTTCTTGTCTGGCTGGGAGAGTTTCTTTTTATAGCACTTTTTAAATAAGTTTTTTAGTGGGTGATCAGAAGAGTGCTCGGTGTTTGAACAATAGTGTTACAGTCTTTTTATTTCTAATTTAATTATGTTTCCGACGTTGCTTTGGGAAATTCAAAAGTTTTGCAGATTTGAAAGGGCTATGAACATCATTACTGTCAAATTTCAAGGAGTTTCTTCAATGAATTAACTGTATCTCGTAAATGAATAAGAAAGTTGTGCAACTTCTAACGGCACTGCAACTTATGGCGATTGTCACAGCGGAAAAATTTTAATTTTTAAGCTTCTAAATGTAAGATGAAATGGTTTGAACGAGTATCTAGTGTAAAATAAATGTGAGTCTGCAGTTATAGCCTTGAATTTTGGTGCGAGGTTACAAAATTTCTTGAAATGTTTTGGGTGAGGGACGTTCTGATACAGTTTGTGGTATCAAGTTACAAAGAGCGATAGTATCAGTTGTCAGTGAATTTTACTGTGACATTCAAGTGTTTGCAGTAGCTTATGATTTTTCAGTAGTATATTTGACTGTACCTGCCATCCTCTCTTTGAATACGTATATTTTCACAACATATTAAAATTTCAGTTAACAATTGATGAGCCTATTTAATGAATAAACACGGATTTTGTACATGATTATGTGTTTATACGCTTAGATTTCCTCTATTTTTTATCGGCTTTAATTAAACCTGGTAAACTGTTTTCATGGGTTCTTTTGTAGCTCTCTACAATTTTGCTTTCTCCGACTCTAACTCATGTATTATTAGTACGTCGGGGCTGTAAGGAGTTTTTTAGGGTTTTGCTTGGTATTAAAATTCTCTTGCAAAGCTCTCTGTTGAATAACAAAGCCAGGTTTCTGTGGCAAGTTTAGTATCTGACTAGCAGTATTTGATGTGGTAGGGAAATCTTAAAAGGTACGTTTGGAAGTATGGAATGATATGGTTCTGTAGCGTAATTTGTTTCATGATAAGTGCTTTGTTTATTTGAATCAGAGTGGGTTGAGGTTAAATTAGTATTGAGAACTACAGGTTTTTTAATCTTGGAGAAATGGTTTTCAGAAAAGTTTCTCGATAACATTCCAAGTGGAAATTGAAATTTAAGAAAATCCGGAGCTGCAAGCCGCTCTGATATTGGTTTTCGAAGTTTTTTTGCATTTGGTCTCCATATATTGGTTCTTGCTTTTCTTAATTTATCCAAATCTTGTCAAAACTTGAAAAAATTGCGCTGTTTTCCAAAAAAGGGATTTGAATGAAGATTTTGATATATTCTTCAAGTTTCCTAGTTTCAGTTTCAAGAAGTTTCATTTTTTCTGAACTGTTTTAATTTAGAGAGCTATTCGTTACGATTTCAATCCCTTGTCTTTTTTTTTTTTTTTTTTTTT